AATTATTACGCTTAAATAAAATATATTAAAGTAAATATAATCTATAGATTTTAAAGCGTCGTTCGATTATAAAATATTAAAAAATTTTAAATAGAAGTAATATATAATAGAAAAAAAAAAACTTATTTTATATATTAAAAATGTATAGCTAATACTTTTAGATTTAGCGTATTCGCTTTTATAATCTTACGAATCTTAATATTATTATAAAAAGACGTAAAATAATAATAAAATTAGCAAAAGCGTAAAGAGAACTCGAATTTATAATTAACTATATATATAAATTTAAGATTTTCTAATTTAATTTTATCTTATTCTTTTATATATATTAATAACGTATAATATTAAAATTTTCAACTTCGCGTATTATAATAAGTAAAAATTATTATTAAATTAATATATATAAAAGAATAAGATAGAGTTAAATTAGAAAACTTAAATATATATATATAGTTAATTATAAATTTAATAGATCTACGCTTTTTAATTAAATATTACGAGTAAATAAATTAACGTTCGTAACTATTAAAAATCTCGCTCTATCTTAAAAAAATAGATATACGTTATTTATATATAGAATAACTTTTTTATTTTCTATTAAAATTCTAAGATTTATTATTTAAATTATAGAACGAAATATAGACTTTTAGATAAAAAAAGAATTTTGAAATTTAGTCTTATAATTATTAAAGCGTAAGAATTTCAGATATCGCTTATTAAAGTTCGCTCGATAGTCGAATAGCCCTAATTAAAAAATAGATATATATTATTTAATTTTCGAATAACTTTTTTATTTTCTATTAAAGTTTTAAGATTTTTTTTTTTAATTATAGAATAAAATATAGGCTTTTAGAGAGAAAAAACTCTTAAATTTAGTCTTATAAGTATTAAAGTATAAGGAATTCAAATATCGTTTATTAAAGTTCGCTTATTTAAGATCGCTTATCTATTTACTCGATAGCTCTAATTAAAAAAAAATTAAAAAATTTAATTTATAGATCTTTACTCGTAAAATATAATAAAATAAATATAATTTATAGATTTTAGCGTTATAATTATATATTATTAAAAGATTTTAAATAAAGTAATATATAAAAAAGAAAGTAGATTAAATAATTAGAAATCGAGAACGCTATTAGATTTAATATATTCGCTTTTATAATCTTAGATCTTAATATTATTATAAAAAAACGTAAGATAATAAAATAAAAATCTAATAGATTTTTTTTTTTTTTTTCTAAGTTCTACGTATTTATCGCTATAATTCTAATCTCTCTATTTATTTAATTTAAAATAAGTTATATTAATTATTTAATATTTAGAAATTTAAAATATTAAATATTAAGAAATAATCTTTTACTTTTTTAAAAGTTTTATTTATATCGTTATTATAAGATTTTATTTATATCTTTATTATAAATAAAATCTTAATTTTATTTTTCGAAAAATTAAATATTATTAATAATAAGATTTTTTTAATTTTATATTAAATAATCTTTATTAGATTTTAAATATTTTTTAATACTAACTTTCTTAAATCTTTATTTCTTATAATAACTTCTAAATCTTTTAATAGAGTATAAGTTAGATAAAAAAAATTATTATAAATCTTATATTATATCTTATTCTAGACGAAGAGAAAAGAATAAAGATTTTAAGATTTTAGAGATAAGTATATTTATAATTAAAGAAAATCTAATTATTTTTAATTATCTTATAATTTAATAACTTTCTATAAATAAGAGTAATTTTAAAAAATAAACTATTTATATTTCGCTTAAATTAAAATTATAAAATTATACTCTTTAGAATTATAAAATTATATAAAAAAAATATATAATTTATTTTAATTTACATTTTAAAATAAATTATACTATCGTATTAAGAGAAATTTAAATAAATAATATCTATAATTTATTTTCTATTATAAGATAGTCTAGTTAAAAGACGTAATAACTCTAAATTTATAATTAACTATATATATAAATTTAAGATTTTTTAACTTAATTCTATCTTATTCTTTTATATATATTAATATTAATAGAGAATTATAAGAGAGACTTTAATAAATAAGATTAACGCGGTTTCTATCTAGTCTAGAGGTTCAAAGCTTATATGTAGATCGTACGCGGGAGGCTGCATTAGTACGGACGGGGGACTGTCGGAGGGGGCCTGTCCGGAGTTAAGTTGATGACGGGGATGATGATCCTTTCCACAACAGGATCTCACCGGAGGATTTCGGAGCCCACCTGCCGGACTAGGATTAGGACTGTTTCCTTCGCTCCTTCCCCTGAACCTCACTACTCCCTTGGAGCAAGGACCATCTTTCCTTTCACAACTGCCTCCATGTCATCATTTCACCTCACCTATATAGCATTTCTGTCATTATCTCTAATACTCACACATCATGAAGCCAGTCAAAGCCAGCGCGACCCAGAACTCCGAGATCACCGCTCTGATTAACTCGCTCAGGGAAACCTTGTCAGCAAATGATCCCGCAGCACCAACCACTCGCGGGCATTTAAAGGAAACTGCTGAGAAATTGAGTCTTGCACTCGAAACGCCCGGAGAGACGGTCCAACGTGTAGCCTACTACGTAAGCTCGAGCTCGAACCCCGCCTTGCGTGAATTGCCTCACAATCACCTCCAGTCCGAACGCTCCTTCAGACCAAGCTGCTGACAAAGATATTTGATGGAAACAGCCTATGCGAACAACTATCGTTCGGATCGCCAACAGACTACAACTCTTCCATATCTTGGTGGAAAGCGATGTACCTGTCACTGGCAAAGAGCTAGCGCAAAATACTGGTGCCGATCACGTATTGCTCCTCCGCCTCCTTCGGTTCCTTGTCGCTACGCACGACATCGATGAAGCCGGCGTCGATAGCTATACCGCCAACAGCGTCACAAAGAACTTGATCGTCCCCCAGCTTGAAGCAGGCATCAATCATACCTATGATCTCGTGGGGACCGCCACCATGGCTCTTCCTTCATTCCTCGCCAAGACTCAGTATCAGAATCCCACTGACCCGAAGGAATGCGCTTTCCAAGAAGGCTTTCATACCAAAGACAACGTGTTTGAGTGGTTCCCAAAACACCCCGAGCATCTCAACAACTTCAACCTCTGGATGACAGGCCAGCGTGAGGGTCGTACGGGCTGGCTCGATTTCTTTCCTTTCGAGGAACGAGTTGCCAAAGGCTTCAAAGGAGGTGATGGTGCGGTCATGTTGGTAGATGTGGGCGGCGCACGCGGACATGAGGTCAAAGCAATTAAGAAGAAGCATCCAAGTCTGCCTGGGAGGTTCCTGCTGCAGGACCTACCGGATACGATTGAGCAAGCGTTGCCAGTGCCGGGAATGGAAACTGTTGTGCATGACTTCTTCACTCCGCAGCCGATCAAAGGTCTGAGCCTGAAGTACTTGATCTTCAGACTCTGATGCTAATCTGTTAGCTAGGCGCACGTGCTTACTATCTCCGCAATGTCCTCCATGACTGGCCTGATAACCATTGCCAGCTCATCCTCTCCCAACTCGCGTCAGCAATGACGCCAGGCTACTCCAAAATCCTCCTCAATGAGCTCGTTCTCCCCAACCAGAAATGTAGCCTTATCGCAGCTCAAGTTGATATAACTATGATGGCCTGTTTGGCAGCGACCGAGCGCTCGGAGAGGCAGTGGCATGAGGTGGTAGGTTCGGCGGGGTTGAAAATTCAGAAGATCTGGACGGATGTGCCGGAGGCGGAGAGTATCATAGAGCTGACCTTGAAGTGATGGTGTGCAGTAGTGTGCAATGGGCAATCACGTTCGCTCTCTCATACCTTCAGTGAGCTTCGAGGTCAACCAGGCATCGAAAGCGTGAAAGGGATACTGAAAAGCCAGCTTGAGTTGGCCGAGGCCGGGAAGTTGAAATACTTTGCAATAGGCCTCTTCCGTTCATTGAAGCCGTGATTGTATGGAGAGCAAGACGGCATCCCAACGGCATACTCAAGAAAGTCTAACGGCAATATTTCTGTGCAGTATGCAATGTCGCGTGGTACATATCGTGGCGCGATACGGGAATGGTAGGGAAAAGTAGAAACGGGGTCCTCATCAAACTCCACGCCATGATGTATGACTCGTCAACCTCTCATCTCGTAGGCTTTGTAGCCTCAATAAGCGCCAGTATCTCGCTTGTGAAATTGTAACACCTTTCGCTCTTCAAGTTGCTGTCCTTTCTGGGTGCGCCAGCGCTTCATCTTGAATCTCTATTGCTGCACCCACATTGAGCTTAGCTCTCATCAGACCATGACAGAATCTGGGAAGCAAGTCGCGGTGAAGGATGGCAGACTGACGTACCACCAACCATTATAGAGCCAACCCTCCGCAGTCTACCTAATATCGTGTGCTGGTTCTTACACATAAGGTAGATCTCTGTGCAATTGGGAACTAAGGCTAGGTAACATTTACGAAGGACGGATACTGCATTCGACGGCAAAGGAAACTGCACCGCGGTTTGAAAAACGTTCAAGTTGACCCTTTGGTTTGAATAGTGCAAGACTACTGTGATAGATAGGGTATTTGAAAAGCAGGGACTGTCTGGCTAAAAACTGGTGCTTTGCCCCTACTATCGCCTGTTCAATTCGATTCTTTGATTGCTAGTGTTGAAACTCGTCTTAGGGTTTCACCAACTGCGGCAATAGCAGACAGACCAACTGCAGTGGAAATCTACAACAACAAGTGCGCTATTTTTCTTCTCTTTGCTAGACAAGCCATTCACTGATTACTACATGGATCAACTGCATTAGCATCACTTCACTAACGTCGGTCAGTGGGGGCCTCAGCCTCCACGCTTCTCGTACTGGATAACATCAAGCTTCTCTCGCGCCATAACATCTTTTCACCCAGAGTATTAAGTGTGTAGAAAGGTCGAAAGCATACTAAGTGGTCGGTCGTGCTGTCCCAGCCGAGAGGAGCGAAAGTAATCCAGCGCAAGTGTTTCTCACGTGGTCGAATCTTCGTAGAACTATGCGTACACAAAGTCTTTGTAACCTTTTATCTCGCGAACGTGGCTGTCGACATATTGCTGGAATGGGACAATAGGGGCGTAGAGTCCAAACTGGGCGCCTGCTATGTCGAGAACGTACTTCTCACTGTTGTTCATCGTGATTTGCAGGACTTCGTGCTGGTCCATGATTGAGATTGCTTGCTCTTCGAATGAAAAGCGACGAGTACGATCCTCCATACAGATAGTCATTTCGTGGATCTCGATGTCTAGACCTAAGCATACGTCAGTTGAACCTGACCAACGCAGATCTCTGATAGCATCGCAGTGCAAACCATCATTGCATATAGTACCTCCAAAGGAAGATTTCTCACCTTCAAAATGCTTTGTTACTTCACGACGCCTGAATAACATAGGGTTGTTACCACCGAAGCACCCCAAGAAAGCTTTATCTTGTTCCCTGTTCTCGGATATGGCATCGATGCGTCGTTGAAGAGATTGTCTATCGTAGCGCACCATCTGGCTGCAGTTGAGCCCCGTCTGGCAGACCTCCAGGAGATCCATTGCACAAGCAGTGTAGTATTTTTCCTGTAGCACCTCCGCTACTTCAAACAACGCCCTGCGATTTTTGGATGCTAGACAGTATGCTTCGTGGTTCGGCCAATCGGAAGTTGCACAAGTGTTGCTGCAGTAGTAAACGAAAGGGACGGGGTCTCCGGAGGGAGAAGGCGCATTCTTGCAGTAGACGCACGGCAGTGCCTTGAAGGTGTTGCAAACGACGCAGAGAACGCCCGAAGATGCTTCTTTGACCCGGTTCTCACGATCTTTGGCTTGTTCTTGCTTTGCCTTGTAGATGTCATGGTGGTCGTACCAATCTGCTGTGTTGTAGGTATGGGATTGTTGTGCGGCTTGAGCTGCTTCGTTCATGGTTGACGGGCCTGTGTACTGTAATGTAGAGGGGGGGAAACCGGTTTGTCGACACCTGCTCTGATATGATTAGATTGCAGGTACCTTCCAATTGATGAAGCACGGATGTAACTGACTGTGATATTCAGGCAAGGTTAGGGGATAGAACTCGGTCGATATGTAGAAACAACAACTGCCTCAAGTTTTTGCCAGGCAGCCCAGCTTTTCAAAGGTGGTGATAGCTGGAGGAGGAGGCTGCTTTTGCCAGGGAGTTCTAGCAGCGAGTCGAAGGTACTATGGATTTTGGGGTAGTCAAATCGAAGCTGTTCGAAGACGACCTCGATCGGCTCTAAGCGCCAAGCGCTGTCACGTCACTCGGGCCCGTGTTAAAAGGCGAGCAACTACTCTCTCTTTCATCCAACTCAAGTCTTTCGAAAATTTTCCCTTATTTCTCGTTCTTATCGCCAACGATGTCATCACCGAACTCAGCATCAGCAGCGATCCCACCTTCCAGCACCCATCCCTCCTCGAGCGTGCGTGTACCTCTGACACTAGACGAGCTCAACCGATATGTCTGTCAGGAGGCGTTCAACCGCGCTGAACTACCAGTCATTCCTCCTACCTTCATCGGCCCTCACCCTCCTCCTACATCCTCGACCTTCATCGGCACGAAATACCTCGTAGGGGGTCCCACCAACGAGACCCCAGTTCGCATCATGTTCCGCTGCGTGTCGCCACACGACAAGGTGTCTCGCCACGTGCTTATGAAAATGAAACCTTCGGTGCCCGAAGAGGCCCTCGCGTTGAAGCTGTGCGAAGTCTTCGAGATTCCAGCCACTGGGGGCGTGATCAGCAAGACGGAGCCGGAGTTTGTGCCAGGGCTGAGTCCTCTTAGGGTCCCAAACAAAGGTACAACTCATCAAACAATCCGCTTCAGACTAGAGTTCGCGCGTTGACCAGATCCTAGTCTACAGCTATGGCGAAAAGTTCGAGTGGCTCGGCGCCTCCATGGCTGGCTTCGTGGAGGTCACGGTCGTGCCTGTCGAACAGATGAATGTCTGCACCAATTGCGGCATCCGCAAAACCGTCAATGCAGTGACGTTACAGAACATTCGCAAGTGGTGCTTTGGTGTGAATTCGCTCTGTATCAAATGCTGTAGGACCGGGGCCGTGCCAGGCAATGTCACAGAACTGTGCATGCCGGATGGGCAGATCTTTTCAAGACTCTACTTTTAGGTCTTTTGGTATGGATCGTGAGTAAATCCACTGTCCTGATGTGTGCCAGAAGGCGAGACGGATTACTAACCAACTGTAGCTGAGAGTCCCGACTATCAAGACAGCTATCCAATGACTACCCGAGAGCTCCAATAAACCGGAGAAGTCTTCGATGCTCAACCCCTAGCTTACCCTTCGCCGGCTTCTGCTCTTGATGCTCATTCACAGGATCCACCACAGCTTCTCCTCAGCATCTTTACTACTTCTTCGATTTCAAAAGCGTCAGTTGCCATTGTCATTCATTCTCCCCGACAGCTTTTAGAAGTCAATGCATGCAGTTGGAAGCGTTAAAGGCAGCAAGGCGTTGTTGTATCTCAATTTCTTTTCACCAAAAGCAAAGGATAAAATGTAATAGCATGCATCACATACGGAAATCCCGTCCACCAAATGACAGCATGTGAAACGACATTTACTTACTATAGGGGTTGTACTTACTCACAAGATTCATCGCTCGCAACGATCGATATTGCGTCCCTACAGAGACCTCAAAGTTTTACAGCGCAGGGACTCAGCACGACGCAGATTCCTGGTATCGGGCATCTCTGAAGTCGAGATTCAATTATTCCACTTTCAGTCCGGTGTAGACGTGTATCAGTTGAGTCTTCATAACAAGAACTGTAAGGTCATTGAAGGCTGAGTGTTGAACCTCCTTTCGCGGTGAATGCCTTATATTTATATACGGGTATTGCAGTGCTTTCTTATTCTACCACTTGCAGATGTCTTTCTGATGAAGGTTGGGCAAGCATTGACCTTGCCCTCACTAAACCGTTTGTACCGTAAAGCATTTCTGTGGGAGTCTTTACTTTTCGAGGTATGAAAAGATGATTTCGACACGGTTCAATCTTGTGCTTCGAAGCCGTTTAAGACCAGCACCCAGGCTCTTCAGGTGGGCTGACCGAGTTTCGGTACCTTCATAGCGCAGACATGCCCGAAACCTTTGGGGTGTATTGTAGTGTTCAAGGCCTTGTTTTGACGCAGCAGTGATGGTATATAAGTATTGGTCAGGGGATGTGCAATGTGTGGTGTGTCAATGAAAGAAGTGTCTTAGCTGAGGACTGCGGGTAAAAGTTTTCGGCGCGGAATTCAGGCCGCGTTTCCAAACCATCACAGATTACGTCATGAGAAGCTGGTTATTTGCAACACAGGGAGTCTATGAAACATGATCCTTGTCTACTTGTACTTTCTGTGTCTATCGATCGCCTCTTCCAAGTTCAAGCTCCTGATTTATAAGCTCCCGGAGACAGCAAGGCAGCCTATCTGCAGGGACACCATGGGCCTTACAGCAACCCTGTAGACAATGAAGAGGTTATTCAGGCAAGTATGACGAGATCTTGGGAGATCTGGATGCACCGCACGTAAATGTATCGCCTGAGGTATTAGGAGGTTGCCTGGCAAGGTCTCGACGACACAAGGGGCATATGGGAAGCTGTGTCTATTCAACCGCCATAGCCGAGGGGAGACCCTCTACTGATCCCGCTCTTGGTGAATAGACGTGAATGCCACTCCTTTCAGTACTAGCCTCGGCTCTGCTGAGTGGGAAAAAAATGTGATCGAGATCAGAGTCACACCTTGTCACATTTCGCCAGGAATACGCGTCTTCTCACCGCGGTGATTATAAGGACATGTGTCCAGGGCATCAAGAATCACCAAGGTTGATCTCTTCGGTTTCCGCAACTTGCCATTAATAGAAAAGGGATACGGCCGGCGAGTCAACGTTCTCGCCACACCCATTGGCGCATAAACTCATAGACACAGAGATTGGATATCACTCACTTAGGAACCGCAATATGCGTCTGGCGGATATGCGGCAAATACTTCAACAAGAGTTTCGGTTTTGCCCAGCTGCGTTTCAACAGCATCAGGTCTATGGGGTATTTCAGTATGCTTCATTATTCTCGGGCGATCAAAAGACTATTGAGGCTCGAGATCGTCGTCGAGCTTTCTCTTTCCCCCCACTAACAGCATCCCCAAATCTGGCGTAGACGTGCTCGTCACTCACGTCAGCTAGAACCTCCTGCTTGGAGTTACGTCACGCCGTCCGCAATCCAAGACTGTGGTACACGACATTGAAAAGCAAGTAGTCGTCTTTCGATGCGTACACCGTCACTACCCAGAATAACAACGGCATTAACCACTCGACTTCAACGTATAACTCCTCGACCATGTCCGCCCCAGACCTCCCTCCCGCGAGCGACTAGACAGTGCAACATTCATTGAGGCCACTTCGCTCAGGATAGGATGGGCGTAGCTGAAACAGCAATCCGAGCCGCATTACTCACCGCGACCACAGTGGCATGCAATCGAATGCAACGATCTCTTTAGCCAGCAGTATCCTCGCTCCTTGGAATGATCTCAACTTATAAAACGGAACGATACAGCTGTGCATTTTGGAAACGTCCTCCCATCCTGGGCATTAGAAACCTCAAATCCCCATAGCAGCGGTGAAGCAGTCTTAGCATCTCTAGGCCAGTGGGACGGAAGGCGCGTTATCGCAGCACCACTGCCAAAGGTTAGATTCAGCGCTGCTACATCCGGAGACGTATCTCTGATGCTGGCATGCAAATTCACGGTCAAAATCTCAAGACTTAGGTCAAGAATCGAGAAAATGGTTTGAAAGTTACTGGGACTCCGAAGCGGTTACTTCGAAAATTTGGAACTCCAAGGTGAACTCTGTACACAGATCCAGGCCGTGCACATATGGCTTTGGTAGTGGTGGCCAGGCCTGAACTAAGCTTGGCACTTGAGAGCCTTGTCGACCTCTCAATGCGTTTTCTGGGAGTTTCAAATGATCTGAGCTGCCTCTGTGGGAGGCCTCACACTTAGTAGAGCGCTTCTGTCACATTTGGGCTGTGAGTTGATCGGCAGTCTGCAATGGTATGAGCGACCAGGCAGAGTAGCAAGATTACAACATTTTTATAGCAATTCTATGGCAAGCCAGTTAAGATATGAAATATTGGGTACTTCATGTAGCCCTGATAAACCGACTTGAGATCTGAAATCATTGAAAAAAGTCGTTTCCACGAACGTTCCATGTTACAAAGAGTTCCTTCTCGGTCCCGGCCCAAGTAATCGCTTACCAGGCGTAGACTCAATCTGCATTGCAATGCCGAGATTTGGACCGCCAGTGCTGTTCGCCGATGATGATGAATTAGGATGCTCTATTGAGCCGAGAGGAGTTAGTGTATAGAGTTTGATGTGTTAAAAAGGAGGCCCACCCGCTTCATGTTCTCCATCTACAGGCTTCGGTTCGATTCCCGCAAATAAAGCAGTGATGTCGGTGGTGTCTGTCGTCTGTGGACTACCGATATGCGTGGTATTGGATTTTGGCTGCATAGGCTGATTTGACAACACTGGGGTCTTCAGCACCATAGGATGCTCTGGGTAGTTCACGTCCAGAGTAGCGAGTGTCTCGCCCAGAGCGGTGACTGGCACATTCTTTGCACGGCGCTCCCAAGTCCCAAAGCCTGCCTCCTCGTGAGCCAATCTTTGCAACTGAAACAGCCCATTCGATTTCCACGCTAACCGGCGGTAGTCTTTCAAATCCTTTTCACATTGCTGTAACCAACAAGGCGGTCAAGGACTAGATTGACACATATAACGAGCAAGCCCAGTCCTAACATCAACCCGATGGCAAAAACACTGAAGTTCTTTGCTTGGCCAGATCGGGCTCGCTGGTTATGGTATAAGTGCTCCTCAGAGGGTCCATTAGGTGGTACAAGAAATGGCAAGGTCTTTGGATTCGAGGGTCCGGTAGCATATTCAAGGACCGAACGTTGCATGTCGGCTAGAATGATTTGAGCCCAGCTTTCGGCCTCCAAAGTCCATTGATTCGAAGGGAGAAAACCCTGGACGGAACCTTCCTTCGAATTTAGGGCCTGCAGTGATCATGTACCCAGAGACCCAATCACACCATTGAGACTCCCCGAAGCGTTCCAGAGAACCTGTGCAGTAGCTGCCTGGGCATCATTTAGGCCAAGGCCTCCTAACGCTTCGTGGAGCAGACTGATGCCGATAAGAGGAGTACACGCTGGAGTCGAACTTGGTGCACATAACTGATATTGTTCGGTACAAGCCAAAACATTGATTGGGCGGTCTCGGAAATATATGTTACCCTTGTTCGGGCACCCCGACGAGTCTCCAAATTCGATGCCATTAGCTATCGTCTGAAACGGGTTCGAATGGGCTGAGTACCGGGGATCATCAACTAGCGTGGGAAAAGAGATCGAATTTGCGGACAAAATGCCAAGTTGACGTCGGCGTCCTCTCGGTTCAATTGGGACACAAGGTCAAAGGAGCTACTAAATGGCGGGCTTCCAGGGAAGAAAGTCGTTGGACTGTATGGAAGATTTAATCAGCAGCTCTTTTTTTCGGAAAGGAAAGGAAATGAATGAATCATCGGTTCGAGGCACTGCTCACAAGAGACCGTAGTCAAACATGTCTGCAAAGCCATGCTCGGCCTCGTCTGTGAAGTTCAGCAGAAAGGTGTGGTGGTATATGTATAGTTCCGCGTGACAGTACCGTCCAAACCGAGTATTTTAGACGTACCATAATACAGCTCCACGTACTGGAACTCAGGTAAAGCACTCTTCACCCTATAATTAGCGCCCTGAGAGCTTTCTTGTTTGACGGCCGAAAATTGACCTGCCTAGTAGATGTTTCCGGTCAAAATGTCACTTTGAAGAGCACCACAGAACCGGAAGAAGCTCAGCAAAAAAGGCCTCTCGGAGCCTGGTTTCAGACCCTGGTCTCGGTTGGGGCAGTAAGGGAACTGCTCGGAAACTTGCTTACCTCAATGGGGGCACAATCGGTAACTTTGCGATACTTAACTCTGTTTTGAGGAGGAGCGTTCATACCGAATGACAGGTCAGAGTCCATGAACCCGGTATCCAGCTTAATCGACGGTGCCGTACAAATCTCCGCATCGACTGGACATGAGGTATTAGTCTGCGTTAAGGGTAATTTGGAGGCCGGGAAGGTCGAGCAATCCTGCCAAGTCAGGCATGTGTCCTCAGAGGCATAGCAAGAGCCGGCGTAGCTAGCACTGTCCGAGAGATACTTTATCGAATAAGCATTGAGATTGTTGATGGCTGCAGTAAGATTTGGGGTGTCTGATTTGGCTAAAGCAACGAAAGCTAATGGCAAAGAGCGCCTCACTGGATTGCGGATCCTAGACCGCCATCCTCAACCGACTTGCATTAAGGCTCCAGCTGCATGTGCTGGAGAAGAATTCCGAAGGATACCTGTTGTTGATGGTACAGTCCGTCTCGAGGCCTTTTGCCGACTCTAATCTGATGAACTGTGAAACGTAATATTTCCCACATGTGGCTGCCCATGAATTGTATAAACAAGGCTAGGAGGGCAACCAGGATTGCTCCACCGGTGGTAGTAGTCGTGAGAGTTGCCCCTCTCACAAATCCCTGGGACCAATTGATCCACATGCCATGGTATACCGTGGATTGAGTTAGCAGACCATTACTGAGGGCAGATGTAGAAGACATTTTGCGTGAGAAGGACCCTGACAGGTAGGCTAGTGTTTCACAGCTAGTGTGGTAGGCGTCAAGGCTGAAGATGGATCGAAGCACGTTGGATGATCGAATATACCTTGCATACGTCTCTGCGTTTGCGCAAAGTGGAGTGCAAGGGAGTCGCTCTGGCGCTAGAGACTTCTTTCCAATATAAGGACTTGGGTGATTTTGATAAAGGATCAAATGCAAATGCAAATGAAAAATATCAACGTATCGTTTCTTTTGCGACAGCTTTGGGAAAGAACCTGGTTGACGTTATTAAGCGTCCACGTAAGGTATGCCACACCCTTTCCGCTTCTCGACATTGACATTCATATCGCGGTCGCGCGCAACGAGAGGGCATAAGCTTTGTGGCTATGTTGCATCGCTAGCTATACAGCCGCTTCCATTGAAAATCAATATCGAGACGATCGGCTTGTACTCACTACCGACTAATTGAAGTAGCCTTAGAGCTATCGGAGCCAGATTCCAGCTTCCAGAACCATGATGATAGTCCATGAAGATGCCCTTGATGGCTTTCATTCAACGTTTTAACAGGAAAAGTCATTGCTTTAGATGTAGCAATATGGTAAAATAGAATGAAGGTACTTGATAACGGAAGACGCCGGGATCAAACGTCGGGTCGGGAGGAGGCGGCATCGGTTTCATAGGTCATCCGAAAATTGCTCCGCCCCCATCAATACTGCACATCTCCTGCATTCATGCAACACATACATTAATTTTTTCCACCGTTGTAATCTCAGCGTGGCAGTGCTTGCGCAATGCGTGGAAGTAGACAATAAGCTGCCTCGGCAAATGTGCTCGGCTTACTCGTATGGTCCCCCGCAATTAGCGTGTTTCTCTGGCATCAATTGCTTGGTTCGCTGAGGGCTGATGGGTCCGGCTAAAGTATGCAACGTTTCTTGATATTGATACTGTATCGTTAAATCGACATCTTTTAGCCGAAGAGGCTGAATCCTTCGTCGAAAAAGGACATGTGCATCGTGCTTAGCTACATTTGTCTCTTCTTGCGAGTGGAGTGCATGTAACCTCCGCAAGTTGATCAGTTCACGAGCCAATCTCAAACCCGGACGAATCCCTTTCCTCTCCTTCTCGGAATTTCAGCTGGTACATCTACATATGTTCTTCGAACCTGTCGGAAGATTTTGAGGCATAATCTCAAACTTGTAGGATCTGATCTCCGTGAATTCCACACGTTTACGACTGACTTCACCGTAATCATCTCTCCTAATGCTTGAAACTCTCATCTGTCTCCGCTCCCTTCTTCTTTTCTTTCTCCTCTACTTTGCACACAGCAGACATTTCTAACGCGGAAATTCCATCGCCATTTCAATCTCGCGAGTCATAGTCTTACGTTCCAAGAAAACACAATGGCAGACTGCGCTACTTGCGACCCGTCCAAAATCATGCATGTCTCTGTCATATCCGTTTTTGCTTTCCTTGCGCTCATGTCTCTCATATTTCGGTTATGGGCTCGGATGATCAAGAGAAACAGACTTGAATGGAATGACTACCTATGCGTTGGAGGCCTAGTATACTCATTGCCTCGAGTGAGGAATTCGTACGACACGCTAAGCTGACATCAGGTCTTTACACTGGCTTCCACCTCTGTTTCAGTTCACTGTACGCATGCTTCATAACACTCGATGCTTTATGTTCTGATATTTTATTTAGCGTATGTCTACTGGGGCTTTTTCTCGAGGAGTGTCGCCGGAGATTCCGACATTGTAGTCCTTCAATACAAGGTTCGTGGTATTCGCTTATGCCTCGCAGCTCAGAATTTACTAAAAACACAAAGGCTTTGCTCGTAGGGCAACTTCTCTGGATCACCGCCGTGACACTGATTCGCGCATCAGTCCTTTTCTTGTACAATCGAATTTTCTGCACGAAATCCTTTCGCATCGCGTGCTATGGGATTCTCTCAATCAATTTGGCTTACTTCACAGCAACAGTGCTGGCATGTTGTCTAATATGCCGACCCTTCGCTTTCAACTGGGACCAGTCCATACACGGGTCTTGTGGCGACCAAAAGTCTCTAGATCTATTCATTGGAGTCTTCAATTTATTGATGGACATCACAACCGTCGCATTGCCAATGCCCGTCTTATGGGGGCTTCAAATGCCGACCGGAACGAAGATTGTTTTGAGCGGACTGTTTTCAATGGGTATAGCGTAAGAGCAACTTTGCTCCTACCCTTCCTATTCTCTGGGCGAAGCGCGACTTGACCGTTCGAGTACTAATGCTTGCCACAGCATTTGCATCATCACCTTAGTCCGGATCAAAGTAACAACCGACATCACCGCCAACAATACTGCAGGTCAGTACGCGCTGATCGCGCTTTTAACCTGCCTTGAGTCGTCACTCGGTGTGGTCAATGCCTGTCTTCCGGTCACAAAGCCCGTCTTCGAGAAGCTCAAACCTACGTTGCTCATTAGTCTCCTGTGGGGGCGGACCTCGAGCAAGCCCAAAGTCCTTCCCGGCGATTATGAACTGCCATCCAGGCTGAAGCGAGTCGGCTGGCCGCTGGAGGATAGGCCAAAAAGAATCATGCAACCGAACCCGCAAGACTCAACCACAGATGTGTCGAACGAGATATGGAGACCGCCTTCGTCGCCGCACCAAGACTTTGAGCAGTAATAGATGGGCAAAATCTGGGCACTCGGGGCTGCTAGAATTGTGGTACTTCAACAGGGGGATGGCGACCGAGAGAGATATCGCGAACAGTCATGTGCTCTTACTGCGACTACTATCTCTCGTCAGCTCTGAACGTACTCCTGTGAATACATTTGAGCATTATCTGAAATGTACTCCTTTGTAAATACATTTGAGCATTAGCGGCACTATACTCGATGCTTAGGGGTTAGGGTTAGGGTTGTAACTAACGATATTCTTTTAACCGCTATCCGTTAAACGCCGAGAGGCAATAAATTGTTTTCTCCATACTATTATTTCGATTACTACTTAATTACATTTATATAATTTAATAAATATAGTCTAAATCTATTATATAGAGTCTAATATATTATTTTCTTTATGAAATTATCTTTTATTATTAATTATAAAGAGCTTATATTCTTTCTTAATTAACTTATATAAAGCTATAATAAAATAAGATATACGCTCTATCTTCTTAATTATAAATTTATTAATTACTATATAGAAACTCGAAGTTCTAAAAAAACTTTAATTCTTTCAAATCTCGCTAGTAAATAAAAGAAGTTTCTTATATTACATTAATTACTTCTATTAATCTATTTTAATAATCGTAAGATTCTCTTAAGTAAGATTTAAATAATATATATAATAAGAAATAGATTACTTAAAAGATAATTAATAGCTATTCGATACTTAATTATTATTAATTAATACTTTAAAAATAGTAGAATACGCTAAAGAAGATTATTATATTTTTTAAGAAATATCTATCTCTTACTAATTTTCGTAGATTTTTTTTACTACTTTAGAGTTTAATCTAATTTATTCTTATTAGAAGTAGATAGAGTAGTAATTTAAGATATATTAAATTATTAATAATAAAGTTATTTAATAATTAATATAAGAAAGCTATTAAATATAAGAAAAGAATCTCGATTAAATTTATTATCTCGACGTCGACGTTTATCTCGCTATAGCTTAACTAGAGACTATTAAGAAAGAGATATAGTATATATTTATAGTAGAATAGTCGAGATTACTATATTGAAAAAGCCTTAAATAAGCGATATCCCTCTTATTTCTTACTCTTTATTCTTATTTCTCTTATTATAAAAAGAAATTTTTTAGACTTTTCTTTTTTCTAATATTAGACGAAAGTAATTTTCATTTAGAAAATATATTATTCTTCTATTTATATTATTACTTTTTTGTTATTATTAATAATCTTTAAGCGTTTTTATAAGTCTATCGTAAAGATTATAGCTATATATTAGACTATCGCTATTAAACTATTATCTTTTTTTTTTTTTTTTTTTTTTTTTTTTTTTTTTTTTTTTTTTTTTTTTTTTTTTTTTTTTTTTTTTTTTTTTTTTTTTTTTTTTTTTTTTTTTTTTTTTTTTTTTTTTTTTTTTTTTTTTTTTTTTTTTTTTTTTTTTTTTTTTTTTTTTTTTTTTTTTTTTTTTTTTTTTTTTTTTTTTTTTTTTTTTTTTTTTTTTTTTTTTTTTTTTTTTTTTTTTTTTTTTTTTTTTTTTTTTTTTTTTTTTTTTTTTTTTTTTTTTTTTTTTTTTTTTTTTTTTTTTTTTTTTTTTTTTTTTTTTTTTTTTTTTTTTTTTTTTTTTTTTTTTTTTTTTTTTTTTTTTTTTTTTTTTTTTTTTTTTTTTTTTTTTTTTTTTTTTTTTTTTTTTTTTTTTTTTTTTTTTTTTTTTTTTTTTTTTTTTTTTTTTTTTTTTTTTTTTTTTTTTTTTTTTTTTTTTTTTTTTTTTTTTTTTTTTTTTTTTATAAAAATTTAAAAATTTTTTTTTTTTTTTTTTTTTTATATTTTTTTTTTAATTTTTTTTTTTTTTAAATTTTTTTTTTTTTTTTTTTTTTTTTTTTATAAAATTTAAAAAAAAAAATATAGTATCGACTAATTCTTAAGAATTAAATACCTCTTACTCTAAAGTCTTATTTCTTATTAAAAAGTTTCTCCGCTGAAATTTAGTTAAATAATTTAAAATAATAATAGAATTATAGAAAATTAAGTTTATTTCTTATTATATAGATATAATAATAGACTTAATAAAAGCTAGATTATAAATTACTTAAAAATTAGCTAAGAAATTAATCTTTAAATAATTATCGCTAGTTTAATATATTACGATATCGATTATCTTAATATATTAATACTTAAATAGTTAAAAGATATCTATATTTAATAGCTAATATAGATATATAGAGTATAAGAGTAAATAGAATAAAATAATATTATTATTCTCTATATTTTTAAGTATCTCTCTTATAAGATAATTACTATAGTTATTAAATAATAGTAATCTAT